TTTATCTCAATAGTCACCCTTCATCTTACCAAGCGATGAAACAGTTCTGGAAATTGACTTTTCCACTTTGTAGCTTTGCCCTTGACGAACCTGACTACCGACACGAGATTAAGTTTCCTGATGGCTTTGATCGCCAAGAAGTGGTTTCGCAAGGTCACGCAACACGTAGATGTCGGTTTATCGCGACTGCGCGAACCTTTCTCAAGTTTTCCACGAAACATCCGCGACAGCGTCGAGTTGGAACCAGCAGCTCCTACTAGGACCTTGCGGCCTGACCAACTTTCCACTAGCGTTCGCAGTACATTTTCATGGCATTACACTAACCTCGGCACCCGTATCGATTTTCCACACGATGAACGAATCTGCTATCTTTACTTCGCTTTTGCCACGAAGATCCCCCTCTGGTTGAGATTGTAGTGCTCCATGAAAGCCGATGAGGGTCACCCTCCGCAACCAACCTCGTTGACTGATTGCGAATTCGGCAATACATTTTGAAGTGGCCAATTTTTCTTGCAAAAATGGCATTCTACACCTTTGGCTGGACACGGCTTTTTCTCATGCGGCGGTTGTCCACAGTTGGGACACGAGCTTCCCGCAGCCTGCTTTCTAGGGCTGAAACTGCTTCTGACTGCTACCACTGTATGGCGGTGTAGGCGGTGACGTTTGGGACGCCATGAGCATCTCGTCGTTTCTGGACTTTGGCGACCTCCGCCGGCATGGGGGAGGCGCTCCCTCGCAGAATGCCCTGTTGCTTGCGAATGGTTTCGCTCTGGCGAGCCTTGTCCATGCGGTTCTAAGCGACAAGTTCTGCGTCAAGTTGCAGACGCTCTGACAAATCTGCCGTCCTTTAAGTCCTACACAATCCTATCCGGATTAACTCGTCATGCAGTGTACCGAAGCTCGCACTTTTCCGCAAGAGTGAAAAGATCGGTGATGAACGAATCCACAGTTCACCCTCCTTCTGGAAACGTTGATTGAATTTTGGCCCGTTCAAAAATGACATTCTTCTTCGGCACAAAATATCTATCCAGTTTAGCTTTAGTGAGTTCGTAACTCTTGTTTCTCATCCTCGCGTTAGATTCAGTGACATTAGAATATCCTCGCTTCATCACCCATTGAGTAGATGAGGTGTCTATTTGTTCTGGCTCTCCTTTTCTGAGAGGCCTAGACACTTGTCTGAATCTATCGAAACCGTCTGATCCATTTTGACCAGCCCTCCGGCTTCCTAAAGTCGAATGACTCAGGTGGTTGGACTTGGAACTGTGCCATAGTCACTACTACCGGGAAGGGCAGAACGTGTGTAAAGTTCCACAGATAGTCAGAAAAGTCACTGCTCCTCGAAAATCCAGTAAGGATCAGAGACTAACGGCGCGTGTAGCAGTGCCACTAATTACCGCATTGACTTGTCTACCACATAGACATGGGCAAACTGAGAAAACTGGGGCATCACCACTGTCCTATTCACTGGTCCCGTCTCTTTACGATTCTGACACCATGTTGAGTCAGGAGGTTATCTTGTGGGCGTTAATTAGACACAAATAATGAGATAGGACAAAAGCCTTGCGTTAACAAAAAACCATGTTTATTCGCGTTCCCCCCAACCTCCTAGGTGCAGCACATGCAGTGCTGATAACTTGTTGACACAAGAACAGATAATTATGAATAATACAACAGTTGGCACCAAATAAAAAGGCACTCAGAATCCAAAATAATCGGACGTCTTATTCTTACCTACACACCCATACAACTGGCAAAATTGTCAAGAAACACATGTAGCCTCTGTTCACTGACATTGTTGAATGCCTCCATTCAGTAAAACCCCACCTTCTTTGCAAAATCATGATGAATTTCTTTAAAACATACTAAAATTATAACACTTTATCTACTAAAATGTGGAAAATACAGCGGGGTTGTGTCAGTGCGTTAATTTCACCTCTTATATGTATAAAACCTTTTGGAAAAATGGCGTGTGTCTGTCTGTAACCATCGGCTGGGAAATCCTTTGGCTTTTAATAACACATTTTCTTGCAGGTCTGAAGATCATGTTTTAGGAGACCAGGAAAAAGTGTGTGCAATGGCTTTATGTTTTGTGCTGCAAAGGATACTAGATTTTTGTGTAAGTTTTCTATTGATTATTCCAGTATTATTCTAAAGCTTTTCCTACAAGTGTTTGCTTTAACATACGAAATCAGGAAGAATAATAGCCGCGTTCACACGGAGCAACAAATTCGGTATTTAGCATTCACACTAAGCAAAAATGCGCGGTCCAACAATACGGAATCTAAATATATGCCGTATTTGTTTAAATACGCGGCTTCCCAGATGCCGAATTACTTCTCGTGCTTGAGAAATTCCGAATCTCTTGGACCGCATATTTCTCTTGTCTGAACGCAACTGAACGCAAATACGGCATTTCTGAAGCCGCGTATTTTATAGACTGGTCCGCGCGCAACAGTTCCATTCACGTTACACTGACACGAGTGGAACTGTCGAGTGCGGACTATAGTCTACGTATTCTGCCGTCGTCGTTGCTGTGCATTGATTAATTGTTCACTTGATTGTTCGCTTGGACACATTGTTTTTTTTTCAACTCTCAGCTTGCAAGTAAATAAATACGGCATTTCTGAAGCCGCGAAACAGTGTGTGAACGCTCGGGTAGAGTAAGTCGCGAATTTGTCTCAGATTCGGTAGCTCGCAAATACAGAATTTCATAAATACGGAGTCTCGTGTGAACGCAGCTAATAGCAATGGCTGCATCTTTTTTCCTTCAGAGGGATGATTCATTTTTTGCTCGTGAGCTTCGTGAGAAGCTGACTCTTATAATAGCAACCAGTGAGATGGAAAATTTCTCAATGTCTCTCAGCCCTACGTCTCTGCTGAGATTCATAAAATTATATCATGGGTACATGTTTGAAGAAATTGGGTAAGTCTGTGTCTTTAATGTATGTGAACATGCCTGCTGAATCAATACTTTGCGTTAAAGACCCTGCGAAAGCAAAAAAATGTGTCTGTTACACATAGTAATGTATAGATTTGTTATTTTTCAACTATTGTGATGTCCAGCCCTAGTGTTTACGTTTTGTATCGATGCTGACTCCATGTGTGCAATGTGACGCATGCGTGAGCGGACATCCGGGAATAAGAAATAAAGGAGCAGCGGGAATGGATTGGACAGAAACGAGGTGTTATAATCTTCGGAGTTCAATTATGGTTTGATATCATCAATCAACAAACAATAAGAACATTACAACTATATGCATGCATCAATACAAAAATTTATACAGCGCTCTAAACGTATTTTTGCCGCGATTTTGTAATAGAACTACGCGAAGAACGCGTCTCTCGTGACATGACGCGGTTGAACGAAATACGAGTCGGCTCATGGTAACATTGTGCAGTAAACCATTTCATATTTACTGGGAAAAATGAAAAAAAACTGCTTAAAAATCAAGTTGTGTGTTAGAATTGAAAAATTTTGTGAATAAAGAGGCATAACTCATAAAATACGGCACTTAATAGCAATCCCTGACGAGCTTTTTTACAGCAATATGTTACCATTAAAACGAGTGCAGAATTAAATTATTCCGTGTTGTAATCACAGAGAAATATCGATTTATACATCGGCTATTATGTCAGAAACCGAAACGGAGAAATCAGCGTTTTTCTATTTTCCACAATGATCGACCGCCTGTGTGCAAAATGGGTGAACGTATGTGAAACATCTACTGTTAGTACTTACTGTGACATATCCATGACTAACTGACACTACTAAATTGGTAAAATGTTCAATGCACCTTGAGAAATTGTGAGAAGTTACGAGGTTACCATCGCAATTTCATGCAAAACGCGCGAACACCGCCCATTGCCTGACGTCACTAAGCTATATGTCAACAAACGCGCGCCTAATATAAGGTAGGTGAAAGAACTATTTTGGGCAGCGTGCGATAGTTTAACCTATCACTGGCAGATAACAGCTGTAGAAGGGTTGATGGTGAATGATACTGGCTTAGTGAATATCGTGAAAATGGTTGTATCATGTCTCTGACGTGTGCACGGATAATCAGTACGCTCTGAAAGTTCACATGTATCGTTATATGGAGAAATGAGCATGTACTGTACAGCAGTGGCACATAGTGTTAGCCATCGAATAAAGTTGAAAATGAAAAATCGGTAAAATTTTGCCTAAAACCTTGAGAGTAACCTTAACTTAATGTGGCGTGTCTTGATATGATGGGAGATGACGGAGGGGTGGGACAGGGTTTAGGTGCGTTCAAATCGACGTATGTGTCTTCACATCACACATTTGACGGCTTGCAGGCGACAGACTGCATGGTTATTCCCGGAGCTAAACCCCCTTCAGACTGCGACTGCCGTGATGGTTACTGCTATGTCAGTCTGCATCTACATGTTAGAATCTGCTGTGCCTCCAATCGTCCTTTCAGTATTTAAGAAAGCAGATGATGAGCGTACCCAGGTGATTAGCAAGTTGACCTATCCATCTGGGTGAGATAAGCATGCGCCAGTTTGATATTGCTGCTAGATCAGTCAGCCTGGACTATAGTTTATATACATATTTTTCTCGTGTGCATGCCAAATTGTCCGACTTTGTGGCAACTCTTTGCCAAGCATTGTCTTTTAAAAGCATCCTGTCACAACACTGATCAGTTAGATCTGCCTGTCAGTCACACCAGACAAATGGGTCAGCTTAATTATTATGACGTGGTTCCTTTTTTCATGTGCTGAAACACATTCATTTGTTGTAACTGTCAGCAAGTTCACAGATCATTTGAGAAATATGTCATGATATACTGGAATATGTCATATCAAATGACTAGAACATATAATATAAAATTAGAGTGTATATTGGGGAGTACAAAATGACCAAGTGTTTGCATGATGTATGTGTTTTTGTGTGGCTTTAATCATAGCATAGCCTATTTGATGTGTTTACTTGTCTACGTTTATTGAATACATTGAGCTGTCATCTTGTGGTATTTACTGCTTGTCTGTTAATGTTGCACCAGGAAAGTAGAAGATTCAAAGACTTTGGCAACAACGCATTTTTCAAGAAAGATTACTCAAAGGCACTACATCGCTATACAGATGCCATCGAGTTAAATCCATTCAATCACATCGTTTACGGAAATCGGGCACAGGTAAACTGCTAAATATACTTTTTAGGGAACATGCAACAAGCAAGTTTGTGTTGTGTGTAAATGATTAAAAGGTTCCATCTGAATACTACTAAGGCAGTGGTTCCCAACCAGGTGCGGGCATGCCACATTGGTGCAGCAAAAGAGGATGGCAAGTGTGGCGGAAAGTTTCAAAGACAAACAAAGAAACATTTAAACATTCAAAGAAACATTTTCAAAAAATTTATGTGCCAAAAATAAATATGAAGGTCATTTTCTCATTAGATTTATTTTGTTACATGTGATATAATATTGTAAATATATGTATAGAATTAGAAACTGGTCGAATTTTCCAGAAGTTTCTAGATTTCATGCCATCTCCCTTTGTATTCAGTGCAGTTTTAAATAGTATCGTGTGTTATTTTTGCATTTATTTGTAAGATTTATTATACTTTCTGTATGTCCTATGATCATATAAAGTAGTTGTGCTCTATGTTATGAATCAAGCACTGCTAGGAGTTGTTTTTTTTTGTTTTTGAATATAATTCTTATCATGAAAAAATTTAGTGTGCTGCGAGTAAATTTATATTCCAAAAGTGCGGCCCAGAGAAAAAAGTTTGGGAACCACTGTACTAAGGCGTGTTTTTGTATATTTACGGTCATCTCATCCCTTTCCTACTGAAGTGCTAAACTTTCCGGCATGTAAGAAACAACTTATAAGATGTGTAAGAAATTACCTGTATGGTGTGTAAGAAATCACCTGTAATGCATGTAAGAAATAGCCTGTGTGCTGTATAATTAAGAATAAGAAAGTACATGTGAGCTTTGTGAGAAATGGCTGCTTCACATTGTCATGCATTGCAGGTGTACATTGAAATGGAGAAGTACTCGAGTGCGAGATCAGACTGCTTCCGTGCAATGCTTCTGGACGAAACCTGGCCAAAGGTACTCTGCACTCATGAGCAAGGTCTTCACGCTCATGCTATCCACAGCTGTTAAAACGTCGATGTCTATTCTTTGCACTGAAAACTTTGGGGTGATACTCCATTAGGAGTGTTCCCAACTTTAATGTCATTAATTATGTAATAGGCGTGCGGTATTATTGTCGAGACAGGCTTCCGTAGAACGAAGCTGGGTTACAGATGCTACGTGTTGTTCCCATGGTTACACCCTGTACCTAGAATTTCATGTTTTTCTTAAATCTGTAGAATTACCGATTATACATCATAGCTATTATTTACTAGTAATAAGTCATAGCTTATTTGTTGATCCACCTTCCTCTGAAATAGGTCGTTACGCTGAAATTGTTGTGACACTGTTTTACCCATGATGCTCTGACCGGCATGTAAGCTGGTGTACGCCGCCATATTGCAATACGCCAATGGTGTTGTTCCGTCTATAGCGCCGTTCCGCAACCCGCTTAACATGGTGTCAGAAGTGGGATTATGCCGAGATCAAGTCCCCTGGTGATGGTGGATCAAGCTTCTTGGTGATCGTCCAGACCAACTACCTGGAGAATCTGCATTTCAAGATATGGGTTGCAATGGTTGTTTCACCCATGCTGTATAACTGATGTTGTTGTGAACCTGAGTGTTTATAGTTATTCTGCATGCATTTTGTAACCATATCGCTGTGTGTACTCCATTACTGCTGTGTTGTATCTCTTCTTTGATAATGGCAACCGATAAGTCTAATGCCGATATTGCTGCGCTAGCAGCTGAGTTAGAAGAACTCAGAGTTCTTGTTAAAGATCAAAGTGAGACAATTAAAGCAAGTAGACTAGAAAATAATGCAGCTAACCAGAAAGTGGTGGTATTGCCAAGCAGCAAGATGGAAAAGTTTACTGGGAAATATGGCGAGCCAGGTATTCACGAATGGGTGTCTGACATGAAGAGTTACATTGAGTCTCGCAATGTCGTGGGTGATTCAGTTGCTGTTTGTGTACTGGAGCATCTGAGTAGCAAGGCAAGGCAAGAGTCTGGGCCGAGGTGACACAGTAAGCAAAAACCCTGCAGAGATCTACAAAGTTCTCCTCAGAGTGTTTGGAGATGGTGATGATCTACCGTCCTTACAACAGAAATTCTACTCGTATGTACAAGGTGACACTGATCTTGTGTCTTGTTCATTGAAGCTAGTAGAATTGTATGACAGGATCGTAGAACTGGATGAATCTTTCAAACCAGGGAGAGAGTCAGCTCTAAAGGGGAGGTTTGCAGAAGCCGTGAATGATGTTGGAATGAAGCGAGAGATCAGGAGACTAAGTACGGAGATGTCCGCTTTGAGTTTCTTTGAAGTCCGAGATCGAGCCATGCAGTGGTTTGGTTCAGTGCCGAAATCAACGGTGAAGCCCGCAAAGATGGCTGTCTCTCAAGAAATTCCTGCTGAAGTAAGCCGGGAAGCTGTTATAAAACGGCAAGAAGATGTCATTGCCAAACAGCAAAAACAGATTGAGACACTACTGGCAGCAGCTCAGCAAGCTGTTGAGTCACAGAAGAACTCTGTTCACCGCAAGAAGCGAGGCAATGATGAAAGGCGCTGCTGGACCTGCGGATCATTAAATCACCTCCGTCCGGACTGTCCAGACCTTGTGAGAGGGAGAAGTGGACCAAACATGCATGCTTTAAACTAGTGCGACCTGTAGTGGCGTGCCACACTACAGGTGATGTAGTCGATCCAGACTCAATATTGAACAATGCTGTAGGAACCTGCCCAGAAGCAGAGGTGAAGTTACAAGGGAAGGATGTGCGTTGTCTGTTGGACACAGGAGCACAAGTCTCAACTATCACTGAATCGTGGTACAGGGAGAACCTGTTAGGGAAATGCGACTTAGTGGACGTTGATGGACTTCTCCGGATAACAGCTGCAAATGGCAGAGAGCTTCCGTTCATAGGGTATATTGAGCTGGATGTGAATGCATTAGGATACACTTTTCCAAACATGGGTTTCCTGGTTGTTAAGGACCCGGACGATGATGCAATACGAGCAAGGAAGAGGGAGATTCCTGGAGTTTTAGGATCTAACGTTCTTCGAGACATCAGCAGGAGCATACCATCAGATGTCCCAGTACCTAAGTGGAAAACGATACTGTCTCTGTATGAAGAAACGGGAGTAGTAAAAACGGGAAGAGTACGTGTTGCAGGAAACCAGCCTGTACTTGTCCCTGCGTGGTCATTAAAAGTCATTGAGGGTTCAACAAGATCCAGAGGAACAGCTCCATTTACTGGTGTTGTTGAAGAAATAGGCGTTCAAGTACCAACTTTGCCTAAAGGACTGAAGTTAGGACCGTCAGTAGTGACTGTTGGTAGAAATGGAAGGATACCATTCCAAGTGGCAAATTTCACAGACAGAGACATGTATTTGAAGCCTCGAACACCAGTGGGAATACTTAAACCAGCAACTGTCGAGCTTGACACAAGGTTCCTGTTGACTGCTAATGAAGCCATCGTTGTTGACAAGTCTTCAGATAAGTCAGAAGACCACAGTACCCATTATGACCCGCAGGTGGCCGAAGGACTCCTCAGTAAGATGGATGTCAGTGACAGCTTATCAACTGAGAGGAGAGCTCAACTGAAGGATTTGCTCTCGAAGCACATAGTCTTCAGCACCGGGGACAATGACATAGGATACTGCGATGCTGTGGAACACCGAATAATAACAGATGATGAGGTTCCCATCCGAGTGCCTCACCGACGTGTTCCTCCTCACTTTTGGACGGAAGTTAGGGAGTACCTCCAGTCAGCATTGGATACAGGGATCATCAGAGAGTCTTCAAGCCCGTATGCTGCTCCTGTGGTGTTAGTCAGGAAGAAAGATGGAAAGCTTCGTCTTTGCTGTGACTACAGAGCGCTGAATGCCAAGACGAAGAAGGATGCATATCCGCTTCCTCGGATTGAAGAGACGTTTGACGTGTTGAATGGTGCTGAATACTTTTGCTCCTTAGATTTGGCGCACGGTTTCAACCAGATCCCCGTCAGAGAACAGGACATTGAGAAGACAGCTTTTAGGGTAGGTACGGGTGGACTGTATGAATATACCCGAATGCCCTTCGGACTCACTGGGGCACCGGGAACATTTATGAGATTGATGGACAAGATATTTGGAGACCAGAATTTCTTGACATTGATCGTCTACCTGGATGACGTGCTGTGTTTTGGCAAAACTTACCTGTCATTGCACGTCTGAGGGAGTTCAGACTGAAGAAGCGATTCCCTGTTGCCAAAGCCTTGAGGAAAGAGACACCTGAAGTGAAGAAACTGGTATCTTCCTGGAGCCGTTTAACGGAACGTAATGGCGTACTGTATCGGAGTGTCCAGATAGATGGTGAGCTTTTCAGACAAGTTCTCCTGCCATCTGTCCTCAAGCAAGATGTGCTGTCTTCAGTCCATGACTCCATGGGACATCAGTGCCCGAAGAGGATCCTGGGTCTTCTAGCCAAACGTTGTTATTGGCCTTGCATGACACGTGACGTCACGGAATACTGCTCCAAGTGCAGTCGCTGTCTCTTTGGGAAGTATGGGAAAAACGTCAAGACAACTATCACGTCACTATGTGCACAGAGACCCTTGGACATACTATCCATGGACTTCACTGTTTTAGAGCCTGGTATTGGAAACGTGGAAAATGTGACTAAGTACACGCAAGCGGTGCCAACCAGAGATCAAACAGCAAAGACTGTTGCAAGCGTGCTGGTAAGAGACTGGTTTATCCGGTTTGGTATACCCAGCAGGTTACACAGCGACCAAGGGCGAAACTTTGAAGGGAAGATCATCCAGGAGTTATGTGCCATTTATGGAACTGTTAAGACCAGAACTATGCCATATCACCCTGAACAGAACGGCCAGTGTGAGCGATTCAATCGCACCATGCACAACTTACTTAGTACCTTGCCTCCTGAGAAGAAAAGGAAGTGGCCGCAGCTGTTACCGGAGATGGTATATGCCTACAATGTCACACCGCATGCAACCACGGGGTTCTCACCCTACTATCTGTTCTTTGGGCGAGAACCCAGACTCCCGGTTGATGATATTCTGAAAACTGACAAAGAGGAGACAACGTTGGAAACTGAATGGGTTGTTGAACATCAGCAAAGGTTGCAGAATGCTTTCAGTCTGGCAAGTGAACGGTTGGAGCATGAAGCTGTGAAACGTGCTGCCCGTTACAACAAAACAGCCCAGGAGCATCCATTGAAGATAGGTGATCGAGTGTTCCTGAGAAACAAAGTGGTTGGAAGACACAAGATCCAAGATCATTGGAAATCAGAACCACACAGGGTCATCGGGAAAATCAGCCATAATGTATACATGGTGGAACCTCTGAGTGGATCGAAGGAGCACAAGTCCTGCCATCGACAAGACTTGCTAGATGCAAAGGACCTTTTGGAGGACATCAAGCCTGCAAGTAGTCTTGCTGAGACACCCAAACATACCACTCGTGAGCAGCCACAGGAAGACCTCGAGGAGGAGAATGACTATACAGAATATAGGATCATCATTGACACTCCTGGTTCTGGAACGACCATTGATCAAGCGGATTCCCTCAGCCCTCGAAATTCCCAAGGTACGGCTGATAGTTCAGCAGGGGAGGCTGAGAACTCCACTACGGTTGGACTTGATCAAGAACCCCGAAGAAGTCAACGAACAACGGCAGGGTTGCACCCTAATTCCCAAACAGACTCCCCAAATCTGTGATGGCGCCAGAGTGCGCCGCAGAGCAGAACATAGACGCGTACAACGAGTAGACACTATGGTTACAGACCACAACTGTTGTTAGCAGATGTTAACCGGCTTAACAATCCAGCAACATGGTAACTTTGTCATGTTGTAATAATGGTAACCGCGTAGCGAACCTATAATCTGTTGTAAACTGCCCTTGAGACAGCTTAGTTTTTGGGCAGGGAGTGTTAATAGGCGTGCAGGTATTATTGTCGCGACAGCTTCGTTAGAACCGAAGCTGGGTTACAGATGCAACGTGTTGTTCCCATGTTACACCGTGTACCTAGAATTCATGTTTTTTCTTAAATCTTGTTAAATTACCGACTTAACATTCTAGCTGATTATGTTACTAGTATAATCACCTGCTTATTGTTGATCCGCCTTCCTCTGAAGTAGGTCTTACGCTTGAAATTGTTGAGCACACTCGTTTTACCACGATGCTCTTGACGCGGGCATGTAAGCGTCGTGTACGACCACCATATTTGCAGATCACCCGAAGGCCATGTTTACTTCAAATTGTTGAAAAGATGTTCACAACACTTGTAAACTGTACTTTTGTATCGTCGCTGAGACCGCTACTTACTGTATGTATACCCGCTAGGTGATAGCCGTGCGTACGCGTAGCAGTATACGTACGCATTGCATGGGAGTATTACCGGAGTAACAACGCTCCATGGGATCGCGAATAAAGGGCATATATCTCGGACTCTGCAAGCTGGTGTGTTGGTTGTTGTCCGTCTATTAGCGCCGTTCCTAACCCCTTAACAATTAAATAATTAATTTAATGTAATTCTAGTTTGGTTTAATGTCATTTAGGTTTAGGGCTTAGGGTTAGGATTATCAATTCATTAATGACTTATCA